TTTCGGCTTAGGCCTTTCATTGCCCAACATTGGCCCAAACTAATTTGTTAATTTTTGCTAAGTTGTACTGAGAACAAAAACATCACTAAATGATATGTTCGTATTCCTAATTACTATATCTGGATCCATTCCATGCACGAGTGTTTTCTTAAAAGTATATCATCAATGTTTGTTGAGGAGTATAGTTGTATTTTAAATCAATAAAGAAAAAGGAGAAAATTTTAGTAGAAATTGAATTGGTAATATTAACGCAACTATCATATGAAAGTATCACATAGCACTTCGTTGTCATAAATATACATATATCGAATCATAATTATTTTTTAGCTGCAAACATTCATATCTAATTGGTTTCTTAGCGTAACTAAATGTTGTGCGTTTCTTATATGGTCAACAGCTTTCTGTTACTACAAACGATAACATGCGCCGTGTGCTTTCGGGTGTCAACATCTCTTTTTAACTTTAAAATCATTCCAAATTATTATTAAATACAATAATTAAAGTTATGAAAAAATAATTTATAAATATATTTTACTTTGTCACTCTTGTTTGTTTAATTTATGATATATTAAAAAATAGTTGGACATGTTCATTGCAATAAAGTTATCTATTATAATATGTGCAATATAAATAGTTTTATTTATTTTCTTTAGTATGAAATGTGTGAAAAGAGAGAATTTGATTTGGTTGGAGTTTAGATGTAGGGTAGAGATCAACAATTTATTGAAGTAAGAGTTGTTGGCGGTCTAAATGTTCGTCCTTACACTACCGTTTGTATTTGCTGACATTTTTTATATTTTGAGATCTACATGTCAGTAAAGATTTGATAGTTCAAGCTAGTAATGTGTATTAAATGTTATTACCAACATTTTCATCTCAAACCTTTATTTATAAGATAATAATTATATTTTGTCTTTACAGTATGTTGATCACAACCGTTAAAAAATAGGAGTAATGCATAGTCATTTTTGTGGCATGATTAGTTGTTTGGACCGTCTGATCCAAGGTTGACCAGACAATCATATGGTACATTAGGACTTCATGTCACAAGTAAAAACTTTGATTTTTTTTAAATTATTGTATGTTCCTTTGCCTACTGATTTGGAAGTTCAAAAAGGGACGTGATTTTATGTTTTATGTGTTTTTATGCACTAATAATGTTGAATTTTTCTCTTATTTGTTCTTTGGTTGTTCTGTTGTTATGCGGTTGTAAGAATGGTTGGGAGCTTTTTAGGAGTTGCAATCTACTTTGAACTTGGTTGTTTAGTTTATTAAATTTTCTTGTAGTAATTTGTTAAAAATGACTATTATTACTTTGAATATACGAAGGATTTAGAGGATGATAAACTATAGTAGATTTTAGGTTTCAATTGCATTTTCTATTGTTAGTTTCCATATTAAGAGTTTGTGCGTATAATTGAAAACAAATCTAATAAATATATGAGTAATATTGTTTTTTTTTTGTTAGTTCTAAAATTTTTCAACATTCAAACTAGTTAGAGTGGTTTCATCTACGAATGTTATATGGCAAGTTCCAACAACAAATGAACTTAAGATTAATATTGATAGTGAAACTAGGGATTCTCATGATTTAGCTACATGTGAAGGTATTTTTAGAGGAAGCTACTTTGAATATGTCAATATTTTTTCGATTTTTCTAGGAATGTAAATTTCTATTTATGTTAACTTTTTTACGGAACGCTTATGCTTTAAAATATGGTGAGATGAAAAACTTTTGAAGGCTTTGGTTGGAGAGTAATTATTCTCTAGTTTGTTATAATTTTCTAAATGAACCAGTGATTCTTTAAAGTCTTAGAAAAAGATGACAATAATGCTTGTACTAAACATATGGAATTTAAAGCTTCTCATGCTTTTGACAAGAGAAATCATTACATTAACAAGTTAGATAATTTGATTTTTATTTATAAAAACAATATAAGTGATTTGATATTTTACCTTAAAGTATATATTTATTTTATTTATTTTTCATAATAGATACAATTTGTCTATTTTTCAAAAAAAAAAAAATTATATTTCTTGGGTTTGTGTGGTTCCCCTTACTTTATATTTTCTTTATATAATAATTTTATGGTGTCGAGATGCCAAAATTCATAAATAATACTTAAGAACATATTTTTTATTTTGTTAAACCCCTTCGGAGGTCCCTATTTATGTGGGCTTTCCCAGTTTGATCCCCATCTTTTAAGTTTTGTCAATTTGGTCCTTTATATTGAAAAATTGATTCAATTAGACCCCTACCGTTAAATCAACTTAACGAGGTTAACTTTTTGATGAGCTGTGAGGGTGACATGGACAGTTTTTGGGACGTGGCACTCACAAGCCCTTATACGTGGTTTTTTTTAATGAAAACGTGACATTTTCTGAAACATTTTAATTGTGTCCTTTCGGTCCGATTATATACGGGTTGAGGGTGACGGCAAAGGTGATTACGATGGTACTGGCTGCGGGTCTGTGTGGTTTGATGATGAAGGTAACGATGAAGGTGACGGCGAAGGCACCGACGAAAGGTTTCAGGGGTTTAATACCATCTCTGCCACCCAAGTTGTTCCCATCTACTGCATCAATAACTGCCCCTTCAACCAAATGACTCAAATTCCCATCTACCACTTCATGAACCTGACCCAATATCTCACCTCTTTCTTCGCTTTTGTTTTGATCCATCGACAGTTAGTTCACTCCCAAACAATGTCACTGTACGAACCCCACCTAAAAACGGTCCCTTTATTAATTACAGAGGATGAACAATGCGATCAAATGGATGGTGGAAAATGCATATCTTCCAATGACCCACTTCTTGATTCTAGCAGATATTTTAAGAAATAATCAATTTAAAATAGAGGAAATTGGGGGTGTCACCTCTGAGATGGATGACCTCACTCTTCAATCAAACACAACCCCCAAAATAGCCGCAAAACGATGGGTTTACCTCCAAACATTAAATTCCACAAACAAATTCAACTATGATATGTTTCAAACAGACCCATGCTAACCTGCGTGCCTTTCTTCATGGATTAGTTGAAGAACAAAAATGACTTTTTTAAAGTGGGAAATAAAATAGGAGCAGGGTTAAGTGAAGAAAGGAACTGGAAAAAATACAGTGAGAGAGGGAATTTTCAGTGCAATTGAATTATTAGAATAATTAGGCAAGTGGACGAAACAAAGGAAACAGAGGTTGTGGCGATGGAGGGAAGTCTGAGTGCCGCTTTGACGATACAGCAGGACATGGCCCATCGGCGTGAATTTGGACGATGATGCCCGAGCCGTTTTGGATGAAGCATCTTGAATGTTTAGATCGTCCAATTTTAATCCCAATTCAATTCAATGAACCCTAATTTTAAAATGTTTCAGAAAAACCTTAATTTTAAAAATGTTTGTTTAAGAAATGTACAAAGGTTTCATTAAAAAAAACCACGTATAAGGTTTGTGAGTGCCACGTCCCAAAAACTGTCCACGTCACCCTCACAGCTCATCAAAAAGTTAACCCTGTTAAGTTGATTTAACGAGAGGGGTCTAATTGACCGATCCTCTTTTTAATCGAAACAAAACTATAACACTCAAAACAAGAAGAGAAAAAAAAAATAGAATAATCACAATGTATATATTAAGGTATTGTGTAAAATGTCATATATTTAAGCTAATTCTACACTCGGTTTATGTACTATAATGGTGCACTGATTGATTTTTATGCAAATATGTAAAATCACATTGAGTTCAATTTAATTGATTTATTTTTTTTATGAAAGTTTGTGATTAGAAACATAGTTTTTGTTAATAAAGTTTTTTTTTTATCGTAAATTGATGTCCAACGCAATAATTCAGTTTCAATATATTAGAATTCTATTTTTTTTATCGTTTTGTGCAAAGTTCATGCTTGTTAGCATATTTTCACTTTTAAGACGTTATTTAATTTAATTAATTAAATAAAATTTTAAATATATTAAATTGTTTATATAACCATTTAACCAAAAAAAATTTAAAATAGCAAATGATGCCAAAAGACAAGATTGATGAAAAAAAGTAAATCTAATACATTGAAGTAATATTATTGAACACAACTTTAATTAATGACAGAAAAAAAAATCATTCAACAAAAATCGTGTCTCCAAATACAATAAGACAATATACATATATGTTCAACTAACCTGACAACTTCTTTGATTCAAAATCGTAGTCTCTCAGACAACATAACTAAACTTATTATTAATTTTAAAAATATGCCTATTTAAATAAATAATTTTTTTTCACCATTTTAATACATTAACCCGACTTTGCATAGTCGTCATTATCATATATACGAAGGGTAAATGGGAAGGTCGATGTCCAAATAGTTGGCGGGCTTCAGTCTGTTATAGAACACTCTGTTGTCTTTATTTAACTGATTTCACAGATGAATTCATGTCCCTTCTACCTCTTTTTTCTTTTTAAAAATAAATGAAAAATATATAATAGATGTTAAATCATAAAATACCGATTGACTTCTAATGTGCTACTGTTGAGAATTTAAGCAATTCGAATAGCAAACAGCGCAATTACCGGATAACTAAAATAAGACAGGAGAGACTAACAAAAAAACAAGATTATAAAGAATATGTAAACCTACTATAATTGTGTTTGTTTTTACTCCCACAAAAAATATTTTTAAATTTTGAACTTCTAACTTTCTAATCAACATGAGTAAATATTTAAAATGAATATATATGTATATTTATACACCCAGCCATGCATAGAAGGAGACAGAATAGCAGCAATAGTAGACTGCGTTGTGAACAGGAAAAGGGCCCACCAATGCATAGAAGGAGGCCTATTGCGTGGCCACGAAGACAGTCTCTCCTTCTCTCTCCTATTAAAAGGGCGCCATTTGCCTTTGCTTCTCTCATTTTAAAAACTTTTCCACCACACTACCTCCAACCATAAACACACACTACCTCTTCAAAACCCCATTCATTCATTCATCTGCAACCAAAACCCTAAACCGCGCCATGCACCCTCACTCCTCCTACACCTTCGATTCCCTTTCCAAATCGCAGGAACTATCCTCCGCCATCCAATCCGCCAACAACCCTTCCCAAATAGCATCTGCCTGCGCCTCCATCGACTCCTTCCTGCACTCTCACTCACCCGACCAATCCCGCCATTTCTTCTCCATCGCCTTCCCAACCCTAATCTCCAAGCTCTTCGGCTTTGACGACCCCTCTTCCGCCAATGCCTGGATCCACCACCGCCACTCCCACGACCTCGCCCCGACCCTCTTCTCCCTCCTCTCCCCCACCGGCACCCTAGCCTCCACCATCGCCGCTGTCGACCGCCTCTCCCTCGTCAAGTACGTCTTCCCCGCCGAACGACTCCCTCAATGGACCCGCTCCCTCCTCCTTAACAAAAGTAACGCCTCCGATTCTCGGCCCCTCTCCGATCTCTGTCCCTCCCTTTTCAAGCCCTCCCCTTCTCCGTCTCAAATCCAGCTCAACGTCTTCGAATACTTCTTTTTCTGGTTCGCCTACTACCCCGTTTCCAAGGCTAAAATCGACAATCCCAATGCCGCTTCGCTTAAACGTCCTAAGAAATTTATTAGGCTAGAGGATTGGACTTGGACGTCCTCATTTCCTTGTTTCTCCGCCTCCAAACCATCCCTCGAGGGTAAACCTCAATGCGATTTGTACACGCGTCTCCTCTGCGAGTATCTACGCGCTTTCGTCCCATCCTACGATCTCAACGCCCACCAGCCCTACCGGTCCTCCATTCTCCACTACGGCTCCGGCTACGACGCCTCCGTTGTGTCACGGGCTGAGTTTGTGGTCAACACTCTTATCCATTTCTGGCTCGTGGACAACGACTTCTCGCCGTTGCCGGTTACTCTTTGCCGGGATCTTGGGGTGTCTTTTCCGGTCGGGGAGGCGCCTCCCGCGCCGGGGCTGGGAGAGGTGGTGAGGCTGTTCGTGAGCTACTTAAGTTTGAGCACTGTGGCAGCGTTTAGCGAGGGTGGTGGTGAGTGTGGAAGTCCCAGGTGGAGGGCTGTGGAGGGTCCCAAGAGCAAGGATTTGGGGTCTGTGCGGTCTCTTTGTTGCTGGAACTTCTGTGTGCAGAGGCCTCTGTATAGGTTCTTGTTGAGGACGTTTTTGTTTTGCCCTATGGCTGCTTCGGTTAAGAATGTGTCGCAAGTGTTGTCGGTTTGGATTGGTTACTTGGAGCCTTGGTCAATGAACGGGGACGAGTTTTTGAAATTTGATGCAATTAACGGTGAGAATAAGGATAATCCCGTGCCTGCAAGTGTGGGTCGGGGATTCTCGCATCAGTGGCGGGACTACGTTCTCTCTAATTATCTATACTATAGTTCCTTGGTCATGCATTTCATTGGGTTCGCTCACAGGTTTCTTCATAGCGATGTTGAAGTTATAGTCCAGATGGTGCTCAAGGTGTGTTTCTTATCCGTGGTTTTAAATCACTATTTGCACACGCATAATTTTTTTTGGTAGTTTAAGAGTTTATAAGGTGAGATATATGTTGGGGGCTGCTATATGCTGTATGTTAGTCTGGGACTTGACTTATCTTAGTTAGACAACTCGCTTTACATGATAAAGTATGTCATCTAGGTCAATATTGCGTGCATATATGCGTGAGAATTATGTGTGTGATCATGAACTGTTGTTCTTTTCTCATCAATGCCACCGAATACTTAGGTTATGTAGTGGAAACTGAAAGTACACATGATTGATTGCCATTCTTGGATTCTTGTACACACGAACGTTGTGAAAATACATAGGAACATTGTGAGCAGTGAAATGTGTCTATTGGAATGATATATGTAGAAACAAGTCAAATACACCAAAGAAGGATGAGTTTGCCCTTGTAAAGAGAATTGCATGCATAAATGTTCTTCATGCAACAGAGGGGTTGTATAAGACATATGGTCTATGAAGGGAGTCTTTTCAGAGGGGTTGTTGGCATATTGTAGCTTTAACACACTCATTGAGAGATATTTAACGTTGGCCTGTCTTACCTGATCCTCTTGGACGAAAGAACATTCTCTACATAAACATATAAACATATAGACTTAAACATATAAACATAAACATAGTACAACCATTTATAAGTTTTGAGTTGTATTATGTTATACTGAAGACTACATATCTTATTGTCTCTCTAAACACAAGTTTATGAGATAAAAATAATTTGGGAGCTATTTGCATGTGGTCATCAGATGGAACAATTGCATCTGTCGTGATTTGATACTTAAACATAGATGCATTATAAAACACTTAAGCAAAATCACTTAGGGTAATGTTGGGTTTGTTGGGAAAAAAAAGATCTACAATGTCAATGTCTTTTCAATTTTCCTTTCTTTATTGTTTTGATGGTGTAACTTACTAGCAATGGTATGCACTTGAAACCTGGCCTTTTAGACGAGGAATTCACATTAAAGAAAGATTTAAACAAAAAGAAAATACTTGTATTGGTGCCTTTATGTAACTTTTGCTTCCAGATAATCACTGTCTGTGTATGGATTATTCATAATTGCATGATTTGAATCCATGGAATTTGTTAAGCCTAAATTGCTCATCAGCTTTTGGCACACTGTTTTGCTCATCACTGCAAATGAAATTCACGTGTATACATTTTCGTGTTTTGTTCAATGAATGTCTGTAATAATATGCACTGATTACTCAACTACTGTAAAAGATATTGGGGTTTTCTATAAGATCTTTTAACTTTAACAAACTTTTGAGGTTTAGCTGAATAGACTTTGACTTTTAACCTGCATTTACAGGTGTTAGATACCTTGACATCATCAAAAGAGCTCGTTGACCTGTTGAAGTCTGTGGATTCCCTTTTCCATTCTAAACAGGTTGGATCAGGCAAACCGATGTTGAATAACTTGTACAGATATGTTCCTACTATCCGTGAACAGTTGCAGGTGATTTGATATTTCTCTTCTGCTTTTGTTGTAGTTCTGCTTTTGTTGTAGTTCTAATTTCATTGATCTTTTGCATTAGTTTTTTAAACTTTTGCATTTTTATATACATCTTCGCCCTTAAAGTTGATTTTACACGAACTATTAGGTCTCCACCTTGATCTTTTTCTGTTCTCTTAGGCTTTGTTCACTTGAATGGATTTGGGGGAGAGTGATTGAATGGATTTGAGAGATTTGAAAATAAATTTTTTTGTTATTTATTTGAGTGGATTTGGAGGTAGGTGAGAGTGAATTTGGAAGTAAATTTTTTTAATCTGTCACATCAATCAAATACTAAACTAATTATCACAAATGTTGCTTACAAATTCACTCTCACTTACCTAAAAATTCACTCAAATAAACAACAAAAAAATTTATCTTCAAATACTCTCAAATCAATTCAATTACTCTTCACCAAATCCATTCAAGAGAACAAAGAGTTAAAAATGAGTATAAAATCATTCACATGTCTTCGCCAGCTAACTTAAGCTTTTGAGGTATCTGTTTTGGCACACATTGGTATTAGAGCCTCTATTAAAAAATGGTCTAGAGTACGATCCTTGCCGCCTCTCCTTCTGTTAATACATATAACTATTTATGTGTGTGTTTATCCAATTACATGCTTTTGTGAATGTTCATAACAATTATTTTGTTTGTTGTGATTATTGATGTTTCATGTCTTGATTCTTTTACAGTTGTTGATTAATTTGCTCCATAGTATCAATCTGGATAGTCGCATGGATCATTAGACCTTTAAAATGGGGATAACCTGATGATTGTACATATAAGAAGTGTATCAAATGAACTCTCTTATTATAACTTCAGAAAAAATGGGTACTATAATATAAACCATTTGATGATATTTGCAATCGCAAATATTAGAAAAGTGTGCATAGTTCTCAAATAATAAGTGCGTAGAGATAATTAAGCTCTCTTGGATTTGTTTTTTATTTCTATTCTTAAGTATAATCATGAAACTCCGTACTAAAACGAAATATGCAATTAGATAGCAACAGAAGTCAAGGAATCTCTAGTGAAGATTGCTAGAAAAAGGAGGGAACAATCCGGTGACTTGTTGGGAGGAAGCATGAAACTGCTGAAAATGTGTAACTTAACTGTGGAGGAGTTGTCCTGATGGGAAGACTTTTGCAAGGAAAATCCTGAAATTACCTCAAGTCCCCTTTTGTAACGAGATTATAATTTTAAGCATATTTAAAGCTTTTTCATCATCATCAATGTTCTTCCTCATTGTGAGACAGCTTTGATAACGGTGGTGAATCTGCTTCTGGATTGCAGCTTCACCTTCTATGTAAGATAGATTTGAAGGTCATTGCAGCACAGGGCCGAAATGTGCTACTGTGTCACTACAACATCACAATTTTTCAATAACTGCGTAGATTTGTTTCATAGCTGGGTTAAGGGCTTGATTAAATGCTTCTGTTCTGTGCCTAACAAGTCTGTGGCATGATATAACAACTGTATATTTTAACTCTACTGGTTATTTCAGGATTGGGAGGATGGTTTATGCGAGACTGATGCTGATGGCTCTTTTTTGCATGAGAATTGGAACAAAGATTTGCGACTGTTTGCAGATGGGGAGGATGGTGGACAACAGCTCCTTCAGGTTTATACTTTTTGTTGAATATCGTGAAAAACTATATTTAGATTAATCTCCCCTTGTGTAAAATACACACATAGGGTTCTCTATTTATAATAGAAGAAATATGGGCTAAGCCCAAAATACAAATGAGAAATAATAACAAACTAACTAAAAGATAAAAGATATAATATATCTAACACTCCCCCTCAAGCTGGAGCATACAAATTGTATGAACTAAGCTTGAAATAGATGAACTCAGCGTTGAACTAGATGATTTGTCTTCAAGAGTGTGAGGCAAACATAGATGGACTAACAACAGCTTGTGAAACTTCAACTTCAAAAGTGGATGAAGGAGAGCCGTGTGGACAATGATAAACTGCAAGGACTGATTCCCAATCGATGATGGATGAGTGACGGGATCAACAGTAGTAGCTGAAAGCTAAGAGCTACAAAACTGCAGGGACTACACTAAATCCTCATCAATGATGGATGGGTGACGGGATCAACAGTAGTAGCTGAAATCTACAAAACTGCAGGGACTACACCCATATTTATGTGACTTGCAGTGTCTTGGAAACGTAC